CGCGAAGAGGCAGAGCGCGCTGCCTTCGGCCAAATGCGCAAGCGGACCTCGACGGCCGCGTTGAGGCGCTCAAGAAGACCAAGCCGGCCATCGACCTCTTGACGAGATCGCGCCGCCGCCAGTCGCCGAAGCAGTACACAGACGACGGCATGGCGCTCGGCGGCGCACTGAGCCCGGTCCACTGCCAGATAGGCCGACGCAAGCCGCCCTCGCAACCCTGCCCTCCAGCAGAACCAAGACGACAACGACGCCGCCGAGGCGCCACGTGCCCATGGCTGCGATCGTGAGCCGGCGGCCCGTGGTGCTCATGGCCGCCGCCAACGATATGTGGGAAGCCGACGCGCTCGACTGTGCCTGTGACACGACGAACACAAAGCTCAAGAAGACGAAGAAAGCTAAGTCATCGTGGTCTTCGTCCAGCCGCCTCGAGCATCTTCGACGCGAGCGGGAGGCCGTCAAGCAGCACTGATTCGAGACGCTCCTTCGGCCAACGCAGAGCTGCTCCATGTAGATATATATAAGAATACCTAATTGTTAGTTAGAGGTGCGGGACATTGCGCGTTTCAGATTGTGTTCTGGTAGCAGCGCGCGCGATGACGACACCACTTGTCTAGTTTATGTCGATCGATGTAATCAACCAAGTTGCTTTCCAGCGTGACTTTCCAGCGTGATAGGCTTGAGCTACCATCACACTTGTTCTGCAGCAAGATGGGGCACGAGACAAAAAAATAAGCCCGGGTTGGGCAGTTTGCAACGACTAGGCTTTGGTGCTGTCCGTGTCAAGCATGGACCGTCGTCGCACGGCGCGCCGGGAGCCGGGAGACGTGATCTTTCCAATCAGGACGCCGAGCGGCTCGAGAAATGCGAGCATGTTGTACTTGTCCTGGACGGCGGCAAAGACGCACTTGCAGCGCTCGGACGCCGGCCGGGACGGACATACGTCTGCTTCGCCACCGCAGATGGTTTTTTCGTGCTTGGCAAATGCGATCTTGGTCAAAGCAAGGGTGAAGCTGGCGTAATCGAGGCACTGTGACACGACAGCACGGTCGTCGGGCCACACGGGAAGGCACGAGCAAAAAATGACGCTGGCTTGTGTTTCCGAGAGCTTGGTGTCAATCTAACGCGATACTTGTAACTTCTCGAATGAGGATATCGAGCGTACAATCTTGAAGTGGTTCAGAAAGCCGAGGTAGCTCTGGAACTTCATGAACGGCTGCGAGGACTGAGGCGTCGGACTTGGCGATTTGGACGTTGTCGCGTCGTGCGTCACTTGCGTTGCGTGCTGCAAGAACACCATTTCAAGGCCGATCTGGTGCACGGCAAACACTTGCTGCGCACTCTCGTGCTTGAAAAAGAGCTTGTAAAAATGGGCCGGGTCGTCAATCGACGCGAACGGCAAGATAAAGTCGTGGAGAAGGTAGTAGACGCTCGTCGAGTCTTCGAGACCTTCCTTCGCCAATCGCTTGACGAGCCCCGCGACTTCGTCTGTTCACACGCATAAGAATACGTCGACGGAAGGAATGCTGCCGCGACCTCTCTTGAAGTAACCCAGTGCGACTTGCACGAGGAAGAGCAAGAAGCCCGGCCGGCTCGTTGGCTGGTCGTCTACCACGTCGGATCAGACTTACGTTCGGAAAGAATCATGTGTACTGATGCCGTGCCGCGCCGGCTCCGGTAGTGGCACGCTCAAGTCTTCGAGAATCTTGGCTTTTGCCGCGAGCTTGAACGGCTCCTATTGTACGCATCCTTTAGATGGATTCAAGTAGTCGCCGCCTTGTTGCACCCGATCGCTCCCGCCTTGTAGGCTTGCGTGGTATCGAAAGAGATGGTAGAGAATGCGAGCATGACTTCGCAGCAGCGCGCCAATGCGCTGCCGCTCGACAGCGTCCTTCACGACCTTGTCGACGCCCGAGACGGGCCAATCGACCTAGTAGTAGGATACTATAAGTGTTCCATATACAAACGACAAGACAACGTCGAAACAGGCGTGGTAGACGTTGCGCGGACAAGTTGTCATGTCGGGTGCGGACGCTTCAGTCTCCTCGGCGGCCGTTGATAGATCGCTGTTCGGAGCGTCGCTCTGGTCGTCGCTGCTCAGTATTGAGTGCGTGTCGGACACGGTGTCGAGCACCACGCGAGGTGGCCTCGACGAGACTTGACGCAGCAGCGGCGCGGGCTCGGCGCTGCTTGGAACCACGTCTTGGCCGATGGAGTAGACTTGCCGGTTGTAAAAGTGATACCAGCGTTTGTCAAACTTCTTTTTGGCCGGCGCCGCCGACTTGGGGTGGAGAATTTCATGGACTTGGTTGTACACTAGGTCGTCGTGCACGTTGGTTGTCGTCGGGAGGCTCTTGGCGAGACGGTCGAGCGCCGCCCGCGCGTACTTTTCTCGCACCGAAATGCTCCGCAGCATGGGCACGTGGTAGCCGCGCATCGGCGGCTCGGCGGGCGGCGTCGCCTTGGTATACCGCGCGTCTTCTTCGTCCATGAGCTCATGAATGCGCTTGCTCGTCGGCGTGAGGTCCCGTTGGTACGGCGACCGCGCGCGCATTCGTCCTGTCTGTGCAACACGCCAAAAATAGGAGCCATGCACATCATCCCTGTAGAGAGATGAATAGATATAGAGATGGATAGAGAGATAGATGGATGGATGGATGGATAGATAGATTTGTCGACTTGTGTCTGACTCTCATATTGAAAGGTGCAGGGGTAGCCGATAACTTGTCTACGGGGCGGTCATGTGCAGAAGGCCTCTTTAGATTTATGTCATGCGCGGGGACGCGGCAGGCGGCACTCCGCTCTCTCGATAGCTGTATACGTAGAAAACTTGTCTCGAATGCAAGCTCGTGGAATTTATGGCAGAATGCAAGGTTATATGAAAATTACAAAAGTCGTCGTTTCCAGAACGAAGCGCGAGGCTTCTTACGGCGTCAAAAGAGGGGTGCTGCCTAGAGCAAAGGCTGGTAGTGACTATTGTCTTCGTACATTTCCTGCTCGCGGCGTTCGCGGTGGCGGCGTAGCGACCGCCGAACGACCGCCACGCCGAGTACGAGCACCACGAGCGCGCACCCAGTGACCAGCGGCACCATGTTGGTCTTGAGCAAAGCGATGCCGCGGTCCGTTAGCGCAAGCGACGTCGGCGGCGCTGGCGCCGTGTCCCAAAAATCGCCGCAGCTCAGCGGCGGCCACGAGAGCTGCG